AAGTTATTATTTACTAAAGGTTCTTATTTACCATCAAAGAGCAAGAACAGACAGGCAGAAGGCACACCAAGCCACAGCATCCAAACAGACTGCCGCGCGCTGTAAACACGACCAAAGCAAATCCAAGCCTTCTCAGCATCCGAAACCCAAAACATTTTGCTAACGACAGAATTGGGGATCTCAGTCCTGAAATACAGCAGGGGGGTAAGCGCGGGGAACGTGCAGCATCTCTTCCGTGTGTTAAGAGCCCACGCCTGGAAATCGGGAAGGCGTTACAACTTTGTTACCCATGCTACTCGTCTGCTTCCTCATAAACTTTGCAGGACCAGGGTTGTTGTATTTATGTCTTGTACGCTGCCAGACTACTGTCATCGCTGAGATAGCATCTCTCGCCTTCGCTGTAGTGAAGACATTATTAGCTGGTATTTGCAGCAAACTCTCAAGATGAAAGTCACACTCAAGAAAACGCTGCTCGTTATACTACGGGAGGTCTGCAAAGAAGGAGCTAAGAACATTTCTCAGAAATGAAAAGGAAAAAGCGCTCCCAGAAGCAGTACAAGTCTATACGTTAGTACCCAGCAACTTTGCTCTACTTCATGTCTTCAAAGCCCCGCACAAACATCAGCTAATTGGTAAATGCGAGGATGATCTCAATATTCAGCGGGGCCCCGAGCAGCAGAAGAGTCACATTTTGAGCTTCCTTACCGGCTACCCTTGTTTCTCCGCACGTTTGAAGAAGCTGGCTCTTGCTCACAGCCAAAGTTGTGATCTTACCGAAAAGTTAAAAGCCAAACTAAAAGACAGCAATTGCCTCCTGATGATAGTGGCTCTGGGCAGTTAAATAGGATGTAATCTGAAACAAATTATATTCTTACAGAGTATATAAAGGTTGACGCTGAGTTCATAAATGCTTGCACAAATTGTTACTGGCTTTAAGAGCAATTTTATGGCAGCAGTTTTAATCGCCTAAGTGCCTGAGAAGTTACACTTTGTGTGCACGTAGAACAACTTAGCGTATTACACCCGGAAGGTCAGCCTGAAGAGGCCAGCAGAAATGTAAAAGCTGTCAAGTGCAGACGTATTCAGGAAATTTGTTTTCTGATTTCTTGCAAATAAGCAGCACCAAAGAAAAAGCGTTGAAGTGAACTAGATGCCTTTCTGCATTTGACATCGAGACCTTCAGAGGGATGGGGGAAAACAAATACGAACGCATTCTCACCGCCGGCTAAGGCAATTAGTAGAAAACATTCACCTCCACTGGCAGCTACTGAAGTTGTTATAAAAATCCAGTGCATCCGTCAGTTACAATAATTTCCTATTACTTTCCATCGGCAGAAATTATAAGAAACACGATGAATGACGGCCAAATTGAAAAGGGTCCACAAATGCCAGGCAGCCCGTTTTTGGTGCCTGTTTCCCTGGATTCAAGTAACAGCAAGTTCCCCTTCGGCAAGAGGCCTTACGTCCTCCCTGGTGCCTGTCTGCGCGGGCAGCGATGCAATGCACAGAAGGCACTTATAGTTCCTCCGCCACCTCTTACAGCAGAGTTATTTCGGTGAGAGCCACAGTTCAGCCAGTCTCCGAGGGCTGTTGCTCCAAGTTCACCAGTAGGCAAGAAAAGATACCCCAAAACCAACGAACCAGATTTTTGCTTCCATCTTAATGTGCAACAGCATGGAAATGCCCCAAAGCGAACCTATGGTACGCACGGGTAAAATCAGAAGCAGGGAAAAAATAGGGAGATGGAAATTAAAAGAAAACTGTCAGACTAATGATGGAACAGGAGTAGACAGCATTTCTGCTGCACGATGGCAAGTTTCTGCTCTAGCAGCCATCCAAAAGTTAGGTTAGCCTCTCACCCGCTCACTGCCACAGCGATGGGGGAGATCAAGACGATCAAGACGGGGAAGATCCTCCTGCAACGGGGGAGATCAAGACGATAACGTGTCCCCCAGCCATTCCTTGGCCCTGTGCAGCCCCAAGGCTCTGAGCCCAGGAGGAGAGCGAGGGAAGGCGGCGGAGCATCCCAATAACAAAGCTTTCGGGCAACGTCAACGTCGCAGAAGCACAGTCCGAGATAGGAGAACGCCTTATCTCTGAGCTAGTCGGTACTACTTGTAGTCACTCGTTTGTAGAAAAAAGAAATGAATTTTATGAAAGGCAAAAGTACCAAAGTAAGAATTTTGTGAAGTGCTAGAGTACTTGTTAGAGTCACTCAAACTTCCTTTCAAGCTCCAATGGATTTATTCTTTCCATGGTAGCAAGTTTAGCTCCAGTTTAAAGTGCATGCCCCAAGCGCTGTCTCAGAATAATCCGCAAATCACAGTTTATCCCAAATCTCTGGAATCCTGCAAGGTTTTTTTTCAGGTGTTTTTTTTTTTTGGGGGGGGGGGTTGTTTGGGTTTTTTAATTTGTGGTTTTTTGCTTTCCACTCTCCTTTAGTTACACACGCAGGTGAATACCAGAAAAATCTAAGAAGAACGACTACACGGAAGTATTTCAAATGGAGCAATACTGACATAAGTGGCAGAGCGGAAATCCACAGGTTTCATCCCTCATCATAAGCTTGGAATTTTTTGTGCCTTAAAACCAAGCCAGTTTCCTACTGTCTTCAAAACCAGTTATAAAAGCAAAAAATTAACTTCTAACCTACAGATAAGATTGTTTGACTCTTCGCTTAGGACGATGGGGCAAGAACCAGGTACATAATACTTCTCAGTTAGCAGCGTTTTATCTTCAGAGGTATCTTTAAAATTACAGGCAGTTCAGGCAAAGCCGAGTTTGGTCAAAGCTGCACAACCCCTTCTATCACAAAACTGACTTCATTTGCTCAAAGCGTGTCAAATTTTCATTTTCTGCATGTCTGAAGCAGACTAGTTCAGAACAGGTCGCTACATCTTTCAGACGAGGTTTACAAAACCCTCATTTTGCCAGGCTAAACAGGTTGGTACAGCCTTCCCATCGAGAGGCTTTGGAGCAAACGCTCCAAAGCGGGGTGCGCTTGCAGCCAAAATTGCCTTTTACTGCCTCTAGAATCACTCGTGCCTGCCTCACCGAGTCGAAAGCCCCTTAAAAGCAGCTCACACGTTCTCAGCAGAGAAACTGAGGATCTGACAGCTAAACTTTCCAGCCATCCCACCTGCAGTAAGCACGTGCCATCCTCCCAGGCGTGAGCCAGGTGGCACCCGCCGTCCCCACAGATAACGCACAGGTTGAGCAAGACTCTCGCTCCGGTTGTTCCTCCTGGATTCTCCATGCCTCCAGCCAGTCCCTGTTGGCTTGCAGTGTCCCTGCCAGTGCTGCGAGCCAGCAGCGTTAGAGACAGCCTACCAAAAATATAAAGTGAAGAAAGCCCCTAAACAAGAGGCCTGGGGTTTTTTTTGATCTTGTTTTCAGTAGCCGTACCTTTGCGTCGTGCTCAGCAGCCCAAGCGGAACCCCGCTGCACTCAGCTACAACCGAGAACACCTGGCAGTTTTTGCAAACCTATGTTTGGCCCTTTGCTCACGGGCCGTCCAGAAACGACGGGAAGCGCTCTGAAGAGACATACCTAGCATCGTCTAGAATCATAGAATCGTAGAATCATTAAGGTTGGAAGAGACCTCCAAGATCATCGAGTCCAACCGTCGACCCAACACCCCCATGCCCACTAAACCATGTCCCTAAAGCGCCTCATCTACACGTCTTTTAAATACCTCCAGGGATGGTGACTCCACCACTTCCCTGG